ATGTGTGGGGGTGGCCAGGCGCAGTGGCTCACAGCTATAATCCCAGCACTTCGGGAGGCCAAGGCAGATGAATCACCTGAGGTCAGGAGTTCAAGACCAGCCTGGCCTATATGGTGAAACCCTATCTCTACTAAAAATACAGAAATTAGTCAGGCATGATGCTGCACACGTGTAATCCCAGCTACTCTAGAGGCTGAGGCAGGAGAATCGCTGGAAAGTGGGAGGTGGAGGTTGCAGTAAGCTGAGATCAAATCACTGCACTCCAGCCTGGGCAACAGAGCAAGACTCCATCTCAAAAAAAAAAAAAATGATTAGGGATTTCTGGGAGATGCAGAAGATGCAGATAGTGTGTAGTTAGGCCTAAACACAGATGTGGGTCAGCCAGTGGCTTCAGAATCTCAGAGGGGCTTCTTTTTTTCACATCTTCACTCAGAACCAAGGTTAAAGTGGATGCTTTTCCTTCTTTAACTGTCTTCTAGTTCCTTGGTATTTGGAACAGTGTCATAAGCATCACCTGGGAGCTTGTTAAAAATTCAAGAATCACAAGTCCCACCTAAAACTACTCAATGTACATTTTAACAAAATCCCCAGGTGTTTTTTTTTTTTTTATCTATGTTTTAAATCTTTCAGCTGGGTGCGGTGGCTCACACCTGTGATCCCAGCACTTTGGGAGGCTGAGGCAAGAGGATTGCATGAGCTCAGGAGTTAAAAACCAGTCTGGGCAACATAGTGAGACTCCCCCTGTGCCCCCATCTCTACAAAAAATAAAAAAATTAGCTGGGCATGGTGGAGCATAGCTGTAATCCCAGCTACTGAGGAGGGTGAGGCAGGAAGATGTCTTAGCCCAGAAGTTCAAGGCTGCTGTGAGCCATGATTATGCCACTATACTCAAGCCTGGGCAACAGAGCAAGACCTTGTCTCAAAAAATAAAAAAAATCTTCCAGTTTACTTTGTTTTCTCAGTATGTGAGCCCCCCTGAGTCCTGGCCTCTAATATGCTTTCTGTTTTGCCTGAGCTTAAGAGACTGTCATCTCCCTGCTGTCCCCAAAGCTCTATATCCCAAACTATAGGCAAGAAAGACACAAGAAGGCGGGGTGCCATGGCTCACACCTATAATCCCAGTACCTTGGGAGGCCAAAGCAGGTGGATCACTTGAGGTCAGGAGTTTGATACCAGCCTGGCCAACATGGCAAAACCCTATCTACTAAAAATACAAAAATTATCCTGGCGCATTGGTGGGTGCCTGTAATCCCATCTACTTGAGAGGTGAGGCACAAGAATCACTTGAATCTGGAAAGTGGAGGTTGCAATGAGCTGAGATCGTGCCACTGCCCTCCAGTCTGTGGGACAGAGCGAGACTCTGAAAAAAAAAAAAAAAAGACTAGCCTGGTCAACATGATGGAACCCCATCTCTACTAAAAATATAAAAAATTAACTGGGTGTGGTGGCTAATATTTTTACTTTGTCTCAAGAAAAAAAAAGACAAGAAATGTGGCTTTTTGTTTGTTTACCTCACTGGACTGTCTTTTCGGTTTATCATCATTTACTTTCATAAAGGTTCTGTCTTTGATTTAGAAGGGATTTTGTTTTACCTTTTTAGGTATTTTATGGCTGTGGGGTTTTGGCATTTCTGATTTCTCAAATTGCCAGAGACAAAAGCTTAGAGTTGTGTGTTGTTTTTGTATATGTGTATGTATGTATGAGAGAGTCATTCTTTTGCTTTTATTATTTCTTCTTTTAGAAGGTTTTCTTCTTGTTTATTTTGTCCATGTAAACACAATTCTAAGTAGGTTTGGATAAAGTCAAACCACCCCTTGAAGTGGAAGACCTGGGCTTTATGGTTGTTATTTCCTTACACTGTTAAAAGATGGCTTTTACTTTAAGTTTGTCAGCTATTTCCTGTGTGGTCGAGGTAGTCAGAAGTCTGCTGATAGCCAAAATGAAATACGAACATTAATACAGTTACTATTGCTGAACACATACTATTTAATAGGCAGAATTAATAGGAGTGGTCCTTGGGCTTAGCTCCTCATCTGACACGTCTTTGTTTCTTATGATCTCCCTTTGAAACTACTTGTATGTGCTTCACTACCAGCACCCCTGGCAGGCTGATGTGCACACACTGTGTCCAAAGCTGTAAAGCCTGCAGGTACCAAGGAGCACAGTGTCCCTTCTTATCTTGTACTATACAGGAATGAGGGGCATTATCTTCCCCCGTATTCTGTCACAGCTACCTGACTACAAAAATAGTTCTGTTTATGTTTCCAATGGCCTGAGTCCCTTGAGAAAACTGGTCTTTCAACTTTTCCTTGTAAACCCTCTTTCTACAGATAAAGTCTTTAAGAAGTCTGCAAGGTCATATTAGGGACCAGTTTCGCAAACTTAGAGTTTGCCATTCTTCCCTTTTCCCAGGATACAGTTTTCTGTTCTTCACCAGAAACCCTTATGCAAATTAACTTATGCATCCCAGAGTTAGGCTCAAGTTATTGATGTCCTTACTCACTGTGTACGCATACACAGACATACACATATTCATTTATATTAACTGTATGCGTATGTATTGTGTCTATTTCTTTAAACGAGGTAGGGTTATGTAGTGATGGCTAGAATATGAGAAAGATATGTGAAATGAAAAAGCATTCTAATTATATGTAGGGCTGTCAAGAGCTTACAAATAATTCAATCAAAATAACAATAGATACTGTTTGTCACTACACTAAAGGCATAAATTTTCCCATTCATTCAGCAATCTCATGTGATAGGTACTGTGATTTTCTATTTAGAGGGAAGGAAACAGACAGGGAAACTTGACCAATGTCAAACCCCTAGTAAGTGGTTGCATTTGTTTCCTATTGCTGCTATAACATATTATCACAAATTTAGTGGCTTAACACATTTTACAGTTTTGGAGATCAGGCGTCTGAAAGGGGTCTCACTGAGCCAAAACCAGCTGTGTTCCTTCTATTGTGCTTGCCACAGGGCTGTAGCTGGAACTTGTACCCAAATTTTTCTGCTTCTAAAGCAATTTCTTTAGCAGGCCGAAAACCCTTAACACTGAGATCACTTTTTTCCCTGTGGTTTTGCCCTTATTGAACATTATCTCAAGAAGGGTTTGGATAACTTTGATAGCACTGAAAGTTTAACTCTCTTTACAAACTACAGAGAAAATGATCTCATTTACACATTTCAAACACCCAGTGTATTCTAAAATTCCAAGTTTTATTTTAGATTCGGGGGATACATGTATAGATTTGTTACCTAGGTATATGTGTGATGCTGAGATTTGGGATACAAATAATCCCACCATCAAGGTAATGACCCAAAAGTTAGTTTTTCAACCCTTGCACCCCCTCCTTCCCTCCCCCATAGTAGTACCCAGTTTCTAATGTTGCCTTCTTTATGTTCCAGAGTATCCAGTGTTTCACTCTGTAGAACTATACATGAGAATATGCGATATTTGGTTTTCCATTCCTGCATTAGTTCCCTTAGGATAATGGCCTCTAGCTGCATGCATGTTGCCACAAACGACATTATTTCATTATTTTTATGGTTGCATCATATTCGATGGTGTATATATACCACATTTTCTTTATCCAGTCCACCATTGATGGGCATCTAGGCTGATTCTGTGTCTTTGCTATTGTGAACATGCATGTGTCTTTTTGGAATGAAAAATGAGTTGCTTTCATCTGGGTTTATACCCAGTAACAGGACTGCTGGGTGAAATGATAGTTCTATTTTAATTACTTTGAGAACTCTCCAAACTGCTTTCCACAATGGCTGAACTAAGGTACATTCCCACTAGCAGTATATAAGCATTCCATCTTCTCTACAGCCTCACCAGCATCTGTTGTTTTTTTAACTTTTTAATAATAGACATTCTGACTGATGTGACATGGTCTGTCACTGTGGTTTTAATTTGCATTCATCTAATAATTGTGATGTGGAGCATTTTTTAATATGTTTGTTGGCTGCTTGTATGTTTTCTTTTGAGAAGTGTCTCTTCATGTCTTTTGTCTATGTTTTAGTGATGTGGTTGTTTGCTTGTTAAGTTCCTTATGGATTCTGGATATGAGACTTTTCTCGGATGTGTAGTTT